CGAACCGAAACCGCATTTTCGGTTCGGTTTCGGTTTGGGCATTGAACCGAACCGAACCGAACCGTTCGGAGCTTTAATTATAATAATTAAAGAAATAATGCCTCACAAGTACATTAATTATGTACAACTATTATCTGAACATGCAGATAAGTGGTGAAAATATTGCATATGTACCTCTTGCAAAGAGAAGCTAGGTTATAATACAGCTTTATTAAACAAGATTCCTAATAAGAGTGAGAGAATTAGTGCACATTTAAAGAAATGTTCAAATTTTAAAATTATGCATCCTGAAAAATACAATGAATTTTTTGGATCAGATGAAACCATTAATTTAAATAGCAGAGATCTTGAACAAAGTAATGAATTTTTTATTTCATTTGTATTTGTTATAAATTATTACATGCATTTAATTTATATTAAAAATTTTCTATAGTCTCTTCATCAAATTCATCTATTTCAACCAAAGGCTCACTTGACTCTTTTGTTGTTCGTCCTATGTCAAAAAACAATGTATCAATATTTGAAAAACTATTAATTAGAGCTACTGTTTCTGCTGGCTGGTCTTTGCAGAGTGTAGAAAATAAGGAAGTGAATGAGTTGTTTTCTTTTATTAACCCCACAATAAAACTACCAGGTCGACGAGCTCTTGGTGGGCGTATCCTAAACAATGAAGTCAAAAGTCTTGAATTACAATTAGAAAATAAAATTAAAAATGATCCTGTTGGTGTTACTTTGTGTTTTGATGGTTGGACCAATGTAATAAACCAAAATATATTTGGTTCTGTATTTATAACTTCAGAAGGAGAGGTGCTAATATGGGAAGGAGATGACATTAGTGGTGAATTTGATAGGTGGAGAGAAGTATATAACAAAGCTGAAATAATGATTGAGAAAGTTTTTAATATGGGAGCTAATCTGATTTCTATTGTGTCTGATAGTGCACCAAGTTATGCAGCTGCTAGGTGAATATATATATATTTTTTTAATAATATTTGTAATAATATTTATAGATTTTATGAGAATTTCTTTTGATGTTTAATGGCTTTATAGATGTCGGCTTCGAGTTAAACATGTACAAATTACTTTTTTGCCATGTTATGCTCACCAAATGAATCTTTTTGTGGGAGAAATTTTTAAAGAATCAGTTGAGTTTAAGGCAACTTCCACAGATGCAATAAAAGTTGCACTATATTTTAAATCATCACTTAATAAATATTTTATTGGAAAATTACGTTCAATACAAAAAGACACATATGGTAAATACATTCAAATTGCTATTGGTAATGATACCCATTGGAACAGTCATTATGAATGTTTTTGTACGTTGATTAAATCAAAAAGTAGCATTAAGGGTGAATGTTGTATTTATTATTTTTTAAATATGTATACAAATTATTTTAAATTGTAATTAATAATTTTTATAATAATAATAAAATAATGACTTTAGGTTCAATGTATGAACCCCACACAGGATCATCATCATATCGTAGACCTGATGAACCATTATATCTTCCTGCTAATATATCTTCAATTTTACTAGATGAAGACTGGTGGCTTTTACTTTCAAAACTAGTATTGGTACTTAAACCATATTGTATAATATTAGACATTTTGCAGAGAGATAAAGCAAGGCTGCATGAAGTTTTGGGTGGTTTTGGATATTTTGTTGAATTTTGGAAAAAATATGATGAATCAGAGCTCAGAGAAAAAATGCTCAATCGTCTTCAGTTGAGATGGCAAAATTGGGAACAACCATTATTGCTTCTTTCATGGCTCTTACATCCTAATTACCAAATGAAAAAATTCAAAGAAAATATCCCAAATTTAAATCATGTTTATCTTAGTAAATGGTTAATATATTATGAGGCTTGGTCAAATATGAAGTCACAATCAATTTTACTGGAATATGAAAAATTTAGGAAAAAACAATACCCTTTTGATGAAAATACAATAAATCAATTTAATGAAGACATATTAGATTTTTGGGTGTGGGTTACTCCAACTTGGATATGTTGCTCAACGTGTTTTTGGGATCTGTGTTAATGCTGCATCAGTTGAAAGACTGTGGTCATGTATGGGTTCACTTCAAACAAAACGAAGAAATAGATTAGATGTAAGTAATTATAAATATGTACAATTTTTATAATTTTATTATTCTGATAAATTTTTCATTTAATATATATAGTTCAAAAAAGCTATCAATATGAGCAAATTACATGCTTCAATTAAATATCAATGTAAAGTTAATGAAGTGGAAGCTATTCGTAAACAAAAATCAACAGAAAACATTGCTGGTCCAATAGATTTAGAAATAAGTGAAGAAAGTTCCACAGATATCCAAGAATTAAATAATAACAGTGAAGACAATTTAGAAGAGGAAGAAGAAACAAATGATGTATCTGATTGGAATAGATTAGTTAGTGAATGGGAAAATTTGTTACTTCGAGAAGAGGTGGATGATTTACTTTCCACAGATAGTGATGATGATGAATTTGAAATAAATGAGTTATTATTGAATCAAACTCATCCTGCATTAGACAATGTAGCAAAATGGCAAATAACTGATATTTTTGTTGAAAATTTAGAAATACCATTTTTTATTGAAGATTAATATTGTATTAAGAAAATTTTTTAAATAAAATATAATTATATATACACAAAAGAAAAATGTCACGTGTTTATAGATTTTTGGCCAAAACGGCCACAGCCAAAAACGGCCAAACGGCCAAATGCCAACACTGCTTAAACAATATAGTGCAGGACATCTATAACGGTCAATGATTATCACATGATTTTAAAAGCTTATAACTCCTTATTAAAAAAATTAAAAAAAAAAATAAACCGATAAAATTAAAGCTAAAGACCTAAGCTTCATTTCCATCGGTTTACTTTTTCATTTTATTAGAAAAGTTTTGAGTTATAAGGCTTGAAAGTTAGAACATTTTATATATGTCTATATGTAAATTGTAAAATTTCGGAATGATATTCCCTTGTGGTTTCCTAAAAGGTTGATGATCGGCTTAAAAATTTTCCGTGATACAGACAATCTTTCCAATAAAAGGAATATGATTACTTAAATTAGAAAGATCTTCTAAAATTTTAAGTTTCGGACTATTGACCATTATAGATGTCCTGCACTGTATCCATAGGACGGAGCTGGTCAGATTAGCCTTGTGAACACAAGGAATGGCTGTAATGTGTTCAAGGTAGCGTACGTGCTTCAATTTCTGATAATCAAAAGTTGCATATCAAATTGTTTCTTTTGCAACAGTCAATGCTGCCTTGACATCCTGTAATTATAATGATATAATATTAGTATTATTATTACAATTACGCAAAGCAAAATATTATCAATGAAAATCTTGTAATTATTCAGCAAGATCTGCTCCGTGTTTTGATTTCAATTAAAATATTTATAAGCTAAAATAAAAGATACCTCATACATATCAATACAAATAAAAAAAGTACCTCTGGTTAGTTATTAACACGTTTCTTTAAGTGACCCAAACCAAACCAAACAAACAACACTCACGTTTTGTCTGTCACCTTGGACTCTGTCAAAAAATCAATCAATTCGCATCTGTCCTCCCCAAAAAAAAAACCAATAAGATAAATAAATTAATGATGCGTTTGTCGATCAAATCACAAACTTCTTTTTTTTATTTTATTTTAAAAATGTCATCAAACAGATTAAAAACACCAATAAAAGAAGTAAAATGAATGAACTGGGAGCTGAATGTGGATAAGTGATTTAAGGATGGTGGTGGTGGTTATTGCCACTACTCGTCGTTATTCTAGTTTATTATTGAAAAATTTTGTCTTCTAGATGATCAAAAAAGAAAAGAGTCTTAAATATACGTGGTAAAGATACTTGAGTGGCACCAGTACTTCATTATTGATGATAACACTTTTTAATTTAAACTTGAATATATTTAAACATGAATATTAGATAGCGAAAACCTTCCTGAACCTTTAGACACACCTTCAATTAAAGGTAAAAAAAGAAAAAAGACTGAAGAAATTGAAGACTTACATATTAAAATAAAAGAAAGATATAATAATACTTCAGTAAGTTTTCTTTGAATATAATAGTAATAGAAATTATTTTATCAATTTATTATAAAATATACTTATATTATATTTGTTAACATAGCACTATTAAAAAAATAGCAAAACATATGATTAATGTTAATTACCTGGACATTTTCTTTAATGATCCATTGATGCCATTGATGGCATATTCTATAGATCTCAGTAATCCATCAGCCTTATTGAAAAGACATACATATTGAGGATGAGCTTAAAGAAATCATCTCAGAAAATGAACAGGTGAAAGAATGGAAAACATTGAAACTAGGTTTTCAGAATGGGTTAGTCAGTATGTCAAAATCAACAAACAGCTATCCCTTTAAATACTTCAAATAGAGAGGATTATGATTTAGTAGTTGGCATATTTAAGATACTGTTAGTAGTTTAAAATTTTTTTTAATAAGGGACACCAAAAGTTGTTATGTTTCTGTTCATTATTTTACAAGGCCCTCTTAGACAATGTAAAACAGAAACAACTTTGATTACCCCTAATCTTTTAATAGACTTTAACGACACTTATTATTAAAACATACAGTAATCAATTGTAGCTTGATGAGATATTTGAGAATAAACAATTTGGGAATGAAGACATCAATGAGGACACCTTTATGAATTGGTACATCCATTGATGTATAAGATCATTGAAAAGGAAAAAAAAACCTCTAGAATATTTTGGTAATTTACATATGTGTTATATTAATATTTAAAAAGATAATTATTTTTATTGATACTGATTTTCAATAATAGGAATGGTAGTGTTGCAGAAGAAGGAAATTTTGACAATGACATTAAAGACTAGTGCTGTAATCCAAAAAAGGAAAAAGTTGGTTGCAAAAATGGTTGCAAAGGTAATTGCGACCACTTTTTATATGCTGTAAATACAATTACCACCATAATCATAATTTACGGCACTAGTCTTTAAATGACATAGATTATGATCAATGGTTAGTGGGAATTTCCTCAGAAGAAATGAAAAAAAATTACAACAACTCCTCAAGAATTCTAGATTGGATGGTTAAATATAAATTTGGTAAAGATTCTCTCAAATTGTTATATGGTGAAGCAGCAGGTCCTCCTTTCCAACCAAGCAAGTTGCGAACAGAGTATAATAGAAGAAAATTGATTAGATATTGTTCTCGAAATATCAGGAGTACCTTAGATAAAATCAAACTAATGCATGGCAATATAATTAATGAAAATAAATTGAACAAGGTTAAAAAATTACCACGAATCTGCATGCTAACTCATGGTATGTTAACTTTGCTATTTTATATAAATAATAATCTAAGATATTTGGTCAATTTTTTAATTTTTGCAATCCATGAATACACTGACATAAACAGGAACTAATTTGGATTTATACTACTATGATAAATCTAAAAATAACTTTGGAGTTTTTATTGATTTATTTTCACTTCCATTGCCACTTACAAAGCATACTTCAGAAAAAGAAGTAAGAGATTTTTTAATTGGTATGGTAATTTTTGAAAGAGCCATCTCCAGTATACAACCTGCCATAAAAGAATTAAATCAATCAATAAGTGAATCCATTGATCCAACAAGGTTCTTTTACTTACACCTGTGGAAGATCATGATGTTATTAATCCATCTCCAAAACACCAACAAAGATATTATTAATTTTTTTTATGAGGTACATAATGTTATGTTGGTTCTTTTAATGCTAATGTTAAATTCAAATAAAATAATAAAATGCAAACTATAAAATTATTTTAATTAAATATAATAGAAGAATCAAATTCACAAACTGAAACTGATATACCACGTGGTTATGAAATTTCTTGATTGTTACTAAATCAAATGCTTAGTATTGGAGATGGTGAAGAAGATGTTGTAATTGAATGAATTTTATTATGGAATTCTTATCATTATCTAATTTTTATCATCACTTATTTTTAATTAGATTTTAGAAATTCATCTTGTATGTGCTAATAAATATAGTTGTTTGCTATAATTGTCCATAATATTACAGAAAACAGCTATAGTCTGAAAAGGTTACTTAATGATTGTTGCACTTGTAAATGAATACTTTTCCAATAATTCATCTATAAATATGGTTAATTAAGTGGCTTTTACTTAAGAAGATGTATTTTTGTTGCATTTATGATAATTAATTGATTGATTGGAAAATACAATTTAACAATTAATGGGTTTAAATTTTCCATTTGTTCATTGATTTGTTAATATGTATTTTCAATGCTATTACCTATCAGATTTAGCTTCTTATAATTAAAGCTCATAATATACAATAAGCTAAAATAATAATATAGCATTCATTAGTTAGTAATGTTTTTATTAGTTAAAAAAAGATTACTTATTTAAACTTTATTTAAACTGAAACAAGTTTTGAACTCTTTACTCAGTAGGGATGTTAATCGATTATACAAAAATCGATTTTTCCACAATCAATTAAAAAGTGATTGACAAAATTTTATAATCGATTTAATTGAAAAAAAATCAAGTGATAAATAAATTAACAGTAGTAATGATAATAACAATAATAATAGCAATATTAATAATAAGTATAGTAATATTTGAAGCAATTTTAATTTAGAAGTCTGGTTTTAAAAATTAAATGCCATAACCTAACGAACAAATTCATACATAATATACAAATTAATATACATATTTCATTCTAAACATTATAAGCATAATAATAGCAGTGCTAATAACAACAACAACAATATTAGTAGTAATAAATAATAATAATAATAATAGTATTAATATATTAATATTTGAAACAATTTTAATTTAGAAGTCTCAACTAAAGAAATAGCTGAATTAGACAGGGATGAATTTGAATCATATAAAAACATACCCCAGGTACTTCCTGTTGAAGAAAATGAACCATTAAAATGGTGGTGTGATAATGAAAAAAATTCCCAATACTTGTTATTTTAGCCAAAAATTATTTTGCAATTCCTTCTTCATCAGTTCCTTCGGAAGGACCTTTCTCTGATACAGGACAACAAATTACTTTGTTACGAAAATAGACTTAGCTCGCAGTCTGTTGACCATGTTCTTTTTTTGAAACGGAACAAAAAAATTTGTTGATAATTTTTTACCCGTCAAAGAATAATAAAAAATAAAATTTTAAAATTTATGTTGTAAATAAAACGGAATTTATTGAAGTAACATCCAATTGTGTTTTGGACATGTGACCTAGATACTTTCAGTTTATTAATACTGAAATATGTAGAAGTTGTTAACTCGTAGGCATAAAACAAATAAAGCTACTGCTACTACTATTTGCAATGTAAAAATCGATTTCTTCGATTTGTCGATCAATTTCATAATCGATTATTTCGATTTCGATTAACATTTCTAATCCCTGAAATTCTTGGTAATATATACCAATGTTCGCTTTATCTGGTTGTTGCAGCATACCCCAAATATGGAAATATAATAATAATAATAATAAATAATTTAATAATTGCTAGCACCTATTACTATTACTATACAACCCTTTAATATTAATTTTTTTATATTCGAGATTTTACTTTA